AAAATTGTATAGCAATTAACTAATTAGGTACCACAAACATAAGCATAAATTAACAAATGAATTCTAAGAATACAATAAATAAGACAGCCACTAAAATACATTTGAAAGTAGTCTTAAATATAATGAAAACCGAGTGGAAGACTGAAACGACTGCCAGCAAATGGCCGCTCTCAAAAAGCAGTTTTGAAGCTAAGGAACTAAGAACGATTTTAGAACAAAGTATAGCCTGTACATAGAGCCTATCGGATATAACAGCGTTTATTACTTTGCTATTAGATTGCGTAGTATCTGGCGAGCTGCACTCTCAATGTCATTTGACAATTGCTCCCAATGTATTGAAATCTAAGTAATTCGAAGGTATATTGCTTACTTGCTTAGCTTACAACTTTTATACAGTGTGTCCGGGCATGTAGTGATCAAACTTTAAGGGCGTAATCTATGGACAATTTTATCGGTGCAAATATTTTAAATTTGGGGCTTGACCCATTTCTCGCATATTTACAAGGATTTAAGTTTTTAATTTTAAGTTTTCACCTCTTCCTTCAAAAACAAGTGATAGCGTGGGTAACTTAACATTAATAAGCAAATATTTTATATCATGCGATAGCCAATAAAATTATCTTTTAGTAGAAGTAGAAAACAGACACAAGTTTCATACATTTTAAGGGAGTAAGAATGGATTTAATTAGAAATAAACATGATTTTTTTCACACCTTTTTCAGTTATTTCCCAACACAAGAAAAACCAGGTCGTTAAGGTATGTTTTATTTGCATTGTATTATTAGTATTTGAGCCATTCTACAAAACGAATGTAAATTTATTAGTCTACGTCTATTAGTTTCGACATAATTGTTGAACAGAGATACCCATTCCCAGCGGTTTCCATAGTAATCGGAATAGGTTGTGTGATTCTTTCAGGCAGTGCATTTTCGCATGTCGCGTGCGCTATGGAAACCGCTGGGAAGGGGTATCTTTGTTCAACAATTACGTCGAAATTAATAGACGTAGACTAATAAATTTACATTCGTTTTGTAGAATAGCTCAAATACTAATAATGAAATGCAAATAAAACATACCTTAACGACCTGGTTTTTCTTGTGTTGGGAAATAACTGAAAAAGATGTGAAAAAATGGTGTTTATTTCTAATTAAATCCATTCTTACACCCTTAAAATGTATAAAACTTGTATCTGTTTTCTACTTCTACTAATAGATAATTTTATTGGCTATCGCATGATATAAAATTTTTGCTTATTAATGTTATACTACCCACGCTATCACTTGTTTTTGAAGGTAGAGGTGAAAACTTAAAATTAAAAACTTAAATCCTTGTAAATATGCGAGAAATGGGTCAAGCCCCAAATTTAAAGTATTTTCACCGATAAAATTGTCCATAGATTACGCCCTTAAAGTTTGATCACTACATGCCCGGACACACTGTATTATCTACATAGCAGGAAACAAGTACCCAAGAGGTAAAGCGAGAGGAGCTGTTATTTCGAAAACTAGATGGCACGAAAATGCCACCACGGAACCAAGACAACCTTGATCTACCCTCATTGATCTGGCCCGAAATGGCTTATGTAGGCTTAATCACAAATCTTTCAGAATACAGGGTGTTTGGCGGAATGTTAGACAAACTTCGTGGGTGTATAGGTAAGGCCATTTTAAGAATACAAGTTCGCCCATTTGACCCTCAGTNTTACCCTACTACATTTTAAAAGAAATTAGGTATTTCGAATTGATATGAATATGAATGGACATGGAAGGTTTTTTCCAATGTGATAATTTTGTATAAATAATGATTCATTCGTTCTAAACGGACAGTAATTGGCTACTTCGGTAGAGAATGGTTGTTACATAATATGTATCATAATTAATTATGTCAAGTGTCAGACACAAATCACAAGTGTCTTGTTACTAATATCAAATCCATATTGTATTAGTCTAATAGTTCTTAACTTGTTGATAATTTATTATGAAAAAATATAAAATTACTAGCTATGCCCTATGTAAAACGTAGCCTATGTGTTAATACAGTCAAATCCAAAATCTTAAATATCCACGAATTATTACTATCATCTTTTTAATAAAAACATTCTAAGGGTAAAACACCCTGTATATTTTAATCGTGTAGTAGTCGCCACTAGCAACAATAGAATCCTGAAAGTGAGCAACCAAAGTAAATGCACCTACATTACGCCAATGTAATAGCAAGCACTACAAAATGGACGGACGATCTGGTGAAACACTTACAATATGGCAAGCGTTTTACATTAATGGAAGGAGAAATGGCAAAAATGAAGTAATTTTTTTGACAATTGTGTTGCTAGAAGTTATTGGCAAACTATATTTTGTAATAACTTCATCCACTTGTAATTCTGGTTGTATAAACCTTCCATGAAACTTGTTTGTATTATTTGCCGAGAGATGTCACTGTACTTTGAGACGCGTAAAACTGTACCGCGGTGTCCAGATTTTTTACCCCTATTATATATACCCTGGAGTGTTTTGACATAACAACCAATAAATTGTCACCTAAATATTGACGTCTTATTTATACCTAGATAAGAGTCCCTTAAGTGCGCCGAGAGTATCCGTGGTTTATTCATGGTCCTGTCGAGTCGGATATCATCAGGAAGCTGATGTCCATTGGGCACTGGTAACGGTGCAGGTGCCGCGATTACACTTCGTGCATTTTTGGAGGGGGGTGACGTCCTGGACAGTGGATCGCTGTCGCAAACAGGACAGGTGAAGAAGCTGGGTCAGCTAGGAGCTGCTGACACCAGTTTGACAGTACCAGCTGTGGTGCTGTCAGGGCAACCAACTGGTTGAGGAAGATCAGGAGATGATGATGGTGGTGCTGCGCTGAGGTGGTGCCATCTGGTGGAGACACGGTCGGAGCCCTATTTTTTTCAAATAAATGATCAGCAAGTACAGGGACATACCCTAGCCGCCTTGGTCACCAGATCTCACATCGTGCGACTTTCTTTTGTGGGGGATATCTCAAGTCAAAAGTTGACAGCAAACTATCCTCAAATTCCGCCGTGAAGTTGTAGGAAAATTATTAGCACGATTTGTTTTCGCATAGTTGCGAATGTAAGGGTCCGGCTGTGAGAGTGCCTATAGTAAAACGGGCATCAATTAAACGACATTGCAATCCGCATTATCAAACTCCATTTTGCAATAGTAATAAATAATAAAAAGTCATAATATGATTTATTTGTATTCATTTTTGAAGTTGAAAAATTCCCACTGGACACCCTTTATTTCTTCTTCTCTTCCCAATATTTCAATATACACAGGAAATAATATTCTACTAAGAATTCATTGTGATTTTTTTGTGTTTTAATGCCGGTTTTCTGTAATCAATATTTTTATCAAAATCAACTGTCAAACGTCATTATGTTTTTGGTCAAAACATTAATGGTTTTCAAAGTTTTTACATAGGTAATTTCATATTGTTTACAAGATATTATTTGATCACAGATTGAAATTTGAGAGTTGAAGGTCATTTTCGTTTTCGTTTTCGTTTTCGGCCGAAAATGAGACTGCAGCCGAAGCTTCGTTTTCGTTTCCGTTTTCGGCTGAAAATCCATATTCGGTCGGACACTAACCCTCAGTGAGGTACTATTTTTTTAATTGATATTTTTGTTTTTTCAATTAAAAAAAAGTAGCTCACTTAGGTTCAAATGGGCGAACTTGCATTCTTAAGATGACCTTACCTATACACCCACGAAGTTTGTCTAACCATCCGCCAAACACCCTGAATAATGTTCGAATGTTTACTCTGAGTTTTCTTTTGATTTTACAGTCCCGCACGCACTGATATTTCCTGTTCGCTTCGCTCGCGTTCATTTTAATTCAAATGGTAATGGTTTAAAATAAATTATTCATATTCGTATTATAAGGGTGATTTTTCTTTAGGATGTAGTAGTAATATAAATTTTTGGCAGCCTTCTATTCTATTTTAAAGATTTATGTCCCCTGAAGGTATTTGATACTCTAAAAAATTTAATTCGATTTTTAATTAAAAATATTAAATATAAGCTGAAAGACTATTTCCTAAAGCTAATGTAACAATATTAAAATATTTTTATGCTGTATTATGTAATTGTATGTGAAACTGTGAATGTACCCACTGCAAACTCGTTAGCTTTACATCAAACCCTAGTGGTTTTTAAAGCTATCTAAATGTAATTGTCTCAATGTAACTGTCTTTAAGTTGTTAAATAAATTAAAAAAAAATAATAATAAGTAAGGTAGGTATGTACTTAAGTTAATAGATAGTGCTAATTTATTACCAGTCACGTCACATTATTTCAAGAAGTTGTCTAGTTACCTTTTAGTGTAAAACTTTCCTATTTGCAATAGTTATATACATTTATTAAACTCTAAAAATACTTAACAACTCCTTGTTATCTTTAAACTTTTCGAGAATCTTTAACGAGTAGATAAATAAATCAATTATCAATCAAAGCAGTGATAAGTGGTTAAATCAGCTTGGCTATGCAATGTTAGACAGAAATATATAAAAAATATATTCTAACTAAGTATCAAGCTATATCAACCTACATAATACATAATATAACAACTAGCTACTTCCCCAAAAATAAACTTTCAAATATTCTGAATTAGCTTAAGCATTCTGAACAATGTACAGATAACATGTTAAATGCAAAGCAATAAACATGTTATACTTTATTTAAACTTTGCATTTTATTTAAGCAAACAAAACAAAAAAACCGAAACTACAATAATCAAATAGCAATTTGAAAAAGAAATTGAAAAATGGACTGAGTTGTGAACTTAAGTTGAATCATGGAAAAAAATCCTATTCTTTCAAATAAACTGAATATGAATTATTCATGTTTAAAAAATCTAGAAATAAAACTTTTAATTAAAAAAAATAAGCATAAATGATAACCTAATGTGACTTTAATATTAAATTGCTCAATATTGAGAATGCTATTTAAAAATATTAATAATAAAAGCACTTACTTTGCTGGCTTATTTTTCATCCATACTGGCAGATTGAATCCATCCTTAATCTCAGGGTCAGATGCCATCTTGTCAATGATGTTTTATTAAAACTTAAACTTTAACACAAACAATCCTAATCAAAGCACCTAAAGAACTGCTTCAACACGGAGCGGGGAATTGAATGATTTTAATTATCTTGAGCAGAAAAGATAAGATTGTCTCAGTTGGTTATACAACATTGACATTGATATCATTTGAAAAAAAAAACAAAGAAGAAATTAATATAATAGTTAACCTAAGGAGAGAGGCCTTAAAGCACTCAAGACACCCTCTGGGATTCACTGGACTTGAGAGAAAGAGTTGATGAGCCCATCTGAAACAAATAAAAATACTATGAACACTTGCACATGCACTGTCCCCCAAAAAGCTTCATAATTACATTTAGATTAATTGGATCCCAGTTTTAGATCCTATTTTTTTTTATATTAACAATGGGTCTCATTTGCTATTTCCATTGAATCGCATGTAAAAGCAATATTTTTAAAATGTGGGGTCCAATTTGGACCATAACGGAAAACATGTTAATTTTCAACAAAAATAATTATACATATTTATTATGACAGACAAGTGTTGCTTTAATGTAGGGGCAATTGGTGGATATGGGGATCTAAAGATAAACTACAATAAGTACAGTTGACAAGCATATCAGGGTATATACTGCAAAATCAATTATGCCTATTACAACTTTTTCAGGTGCCACAAATGCCACAATACAATAATTATGTGATGCTGTCTGTATCTGAAATGGACCTTTCTAAACTAATGTAAGGAACAATCTACTGTTGCCAAAATCATAGACTAAGTACTGAGGACTGGCAAATACATTACTGAGATGCATGGTAAGTAGGTAGTTTTTTTGTGTAAAATCATAATTAAAGCATGCCTACGAGATTGTGTAAGGTAGAGAAATATAAAAAAAAATTAGCTACTGAGCTATTATCCTTCGATTGGTAGATACGTTACAATAATATTTCACTGGCTTTGGCTGGCCACAAAGGAACAGATAATATATCAAATGGTTAACTAGCACATAGGGACATAGTTAATTCTACTTTAATACATTCGTAGTTTGTGGTACATAGGTAGGTAGCAATGGATGCATTGTGGTATGCAGCACAGATGTAGGTACATTGTTAAAACTAAGGAATTCATACAAAGTCAACATGTACGACAAAATTCCCAACACAGTACTATTAGCATCATGTGCCTTACATATTAACTTTAAATGTTTTATGATAATAAGTCATAATAAAAGGGTCTTACAGTTTTCGCAGCGATGTTAGATGAATAAATTTTAATCATTTTTAAAACCAAACACAAAAACTGAAAAATTATTGCACGCCACACGTTCGCGTCGTCGTCAAATGTCAAATTCATAGAGAAAAGTAATACATAGGAAATAGAGAACCCTCTCTGTCAAATTTTTGAGCCTACTAATTGACAGCCTGGTGTTAAATTCCCTGTACTTAACCTACGTACGTAACGCTCACATACATACATAGTACACGCACACATACATACATAAAGTCCACGCACACATACACACAGTTCACGCACACATAGACCCTTATAACCTTCAAAGAATTATTGTTTTTATGATGTACAATGTAGAATTTTTTCAAATCCATTATTTTGAAAATATTTATCTTTATGGTGTACGTATTTTATTATTTTCAAAACAATGGATTTGGAAAAATTCTACATTGCACATGGAAATGCAAATAAGTAAACAAAAACTTTTGAATTTAATAATTTTACTTTATTTATGAACACACATAATATTATACACCAAAAGCGTCTTTTCGCAAAGTTTTCAACAACACTAAAAAAGCATTTGCACATTGAGAAAACTCAGATCACTTGTGAACATAACAGAAAGTTTCTTCGCGATTCACGAAGGAACGAACAAAACTCCGATGAACCAGAACAGCAGCAGGTACGAAGGAATGAACTTGAATTTGACTCGACGACTCTTCAATACTTTAATAGGGCCACAGAAAACTTTAATGATGGCTAAGAAAACAAGAATGCATTTAACATAACAAAAACAACACCGGCCATTTTGGAGGAAAAACAAAGTTGCCATATGTTAAATAGTAATTTCTACTACTCTATTATGTAAATTATAACAAAATAGTCAATGTTCGATTTTAAATTAAAACAAATTAATTTCATTTAAATAAAGTTTTCACATTGTAATTAACAATATTCTCAAATATATTTTAATTAAGAAAAAAATGAAAATATGAAGGAAACAGGAGCAGCGACATCTAGAGCGTTTTAGGGTAGTTAAAAAGTATTTGAATTTATTCACCGATGTCGCTGTTTGGAAACAAGTTTCACTTCGATGACCGTTGTATGGAAGTTTCCACACCCTGGTCAAATTGTTTTTTTTTTTAGATTCAGTAAGGAGGGACTTTGTCCAATGACAAACAAAAAAATGCGCCCTCTGTATTTCAGACACCAAAAATGGACAAAAAATTATTTTTGACGTGCTTCTTAGTTCTTCTTCTTCTTTTATTATGGCAACGTCTTGGTATTGAGTTTGAGTGAGAACCATGAAGCTAAAGATAAAAATGGAGGCCACACTTGGAACAACAACTTGAGTCAAATACCTACTTATCTCTATCTCGCTCTCTGTGGGCCGACCTCTCTTTTAGTGTGGACTGTAGTATTGTTATCTCCTTATTTAAATCTCCTAGTAAATTCTTCGAAATAGCCAATTGACTAACCAAATCAAAAGTTAAATAAATTTAAAGGCACTGGGTCTCTATCAGAAGGAACTCTAGGGGTGGAATCTCCATTGGCGTGGGTTAACGGGCAAGGAGATAATATCTTGGATGGTTGACAATCACTTTTCCTACAATTTAACGTTCCACCAAACTCAATACGCTTTCAAAGATAACCTCGTAGCCGCTTGCTCACACTTGACATGACACAACTGATTGACAGTTATCTTTTTCTGCGCATCAGTCGGGTGTTACGTTTAGGAATCACAAACCTTCTNTTCAAAACAATGGATTTGGAAAAATTCTACATTGCACATGGAAATGCAAATAAGTAAACAAAAACTTTTGAATTTAATAATTTTACTTTATTTATGAACACACATAATATTATACACCAAAAGCGTCTTTTCGCAAAGTTTTCAACAACACTAAAAAAGCATTTGCACATTGAGAAAACTCAGATCACTTGTGAACATAACAGAAAGTTTCTTCGCGATTCACGAAGGAACGAACAAAACTCCGATGAACCAGAACAGCAGCAGGTACGAAGGAATGAACTTGAATTTGACTCGACGACTCTTCAATACTTTAATAGGGCCACAGAAAACTTTAATGATGGCTAAGAAAACAAGAATGCATTTAACATAACAAAAACAACACCGGCCATTTTGGAGGAAAAACAAAGTTGCCATATGTTAAATAGTAATTTCTACTACTCTATTATGTAAATTATAACAAAATAGTCAATGTTCGATTTTAAATTAAAACAAATTAATTTCATTTAAATAAAGTTTTCACATTGTAATTAACAATATTCTCAAATATATTTTAATTAAGAAAAAAATGAAAATATGAAGGAAACAGGAGCAGCGACATCTAGAGCGTTTTAGGGTAGTTAAAAAGTATTTGAATTTATTCACCGATGTCGCTGTTTGGAAACAAGTTTCACTTCGATGACCGTTGTATGGAAGTTTCCACACCCTGGTCAAATTGTTTTTTTTTTTAGATTCAGTAAGGAGGGACTTTGTCCAATGACAAACAAAAAAATGCGCCCTCTGTATTTCAGACACCAAAAATGGACAAAAAATTATTTTTGACGTGCTTCTTAGTTCTTCTTCTTCTTTTATTATGGCAACGTCTTGGTATTGAGTTTGAGTGAGAACCATGAAGCTAAAGATAAAAATGGAGGCCACACTTGGAACAACAACTTGAGTCAAATACCTACTTATCTCTATCTCGCTCTCTGTGGGCCGACCTCTCTTTTAGTGTGGACTGTAGTATTGTTATCTCCTTATTTAAATCTCCTAGTAAATTCTTCGAAATAGCCAATTGACTAACCAAATCAAAAGTTAAATAAATTTAAAGGCACTGGGTCTCTATCAGAAGGAACTCTAGGGGTGGAATCTCCATTGGCGTGGGTTAACGGGCAAGGAGATAATATCTTGGATGGTTGACAATCACTTTTCCTACAATTTAACGTTCCACCAAACTCAATACGCTTTCAAAGATAACCTCGTAGCCGCTTGCTCACACTTGACATGACACAACTGATTGACAGTTATCTTTTTCTGCGCATCAGTCGGGTGTTACGTTTAGGAATCACAAACCTTCTGCTCTACAGATTTATACAGATAACATAATATTAAGATTGGTACTATTAATCATCAATAATAATTTGCAGCATCTGTGTCCGGCGCCGACAAATTTAATAATTAAATATTTGAACTACGATTACCTAGTTAAATTAAAAATCATAAAATTGTCGGCTGTTTAGGCTTAATGTGTTGGCGAATCAGGGAATTACGATCCCAATTCCTGAGGAACGGTACCATGAGGCAACATCGGCCCAATCCGGCCCATCATGGGCGGTTGTTTACTATTTTATTTACTATGCAGTTAATTTCGTTTGAGATTTTTTACAGGACCTAATCATTGTTTTATCACAAGAAATGGTGCAAAATTTTGTAGTGCGTAGTTGCGGTAGTAGTACGTGGTGTCCCGGAAGTGACTTATGATTCCATGCGTAAGTGTTTATTTCGTGATTTCCGACATTGGATCATTGTAAACATTTTTCACAGTAATTTCTTCCTAAAACGTTTTACCAGTGTTAATACTTATTATTTAATTATACCTATGTCAAGAAATAAAGATTTTACATTGAGTTTCGTTGACTTTGAGCAAATTTATATTTTTTGTTTATTTAGAAAGAGAGAGTCTGCCCACAGAGAGCGAGATAGTGATACGTAGGTTATGCTTCAAGTAGGTATTCGAAGTGTGGCTTCCATTTATCTTTAGCTTCATGGTGAGAACCATGATTTTTTAGGTTAGGGTTAGTTTGTATTAAAGAATACTTCTAGATGGCGCTAACTGCTTTGTACAATACTGGAGGCATACTTATCTGTCAGCTGATTTTGACAAATAATTTCTTTCTGCCTGTCTGCTGTCTGTCAGTAAAATTTGACAGCTAAAGAAAACAGGAATGTCAGTCAGAAAACAGAAATAAATTCAGAATTTCTTTCGAAAATCAGAAAGAATTTCGTACTTTGATTTTTAAAATCACTTTGTGCACAAATACTACATCATAATCAAGATGACCAACGAAGAACCGTCAGATTTAGATTGGGTGCAATTGCGCCGCGAAATGGGAGCGGTACAGCATGGAGAGACTTCAGCCCAAAAATTCTCCCGGAAGTTTTATGCAAATCCATTTGTTCCGATAGGTATGTAGCTTACTTAAAGTTTTATGCTGTGTCGTATAATTTTGTGATTTTATATTGGTTGATGTTTTTGAATTTTTCATGCCTTTTGTAATTTCCAATACGATAATGTTATGTATTGTTTATGGAATAAATGACTATGACTATGACTACTAAATAAAATTGATTTAAAGTCTGTAGTTATAGTAGTTTTTCATTCCGAGGCAAATGATAAAAAATGTACTAATAAAAAAGTACCTACGATATCATTGTTTTATGTTTCAGGTGCTTTAGCAACTGCCGCTGCATTATCATATGGCTTGTGGAGCTTCAAAACTGGTCTAACTCGAATGTCTCAACAGATGATGAGACTCAGAATTCTCGCTCAAGGATTTACTATCACAGCTCTCGTTGGTGGTGTTATTATGACTGCAGGAAAGAACTTTTAATGATTTTCATGGAATACTACTTTCTTGCTTAAAAACAAAATAAATCCCATATTAACTAAGATAAAATTAATGATAGTCATTCATTTTGCAGTCATTTCAACAATGGTACCTACCAACTTGTGCTGTAAAAGTGTAGTTTTCGTTAATAAATTATTTGAAATATTTTTAGTGTTATGTAAAGTCAAAGAAATAATTGTATAAAAATGGAATATTTAAATAATGTTTCAGTTTGCCTTTTATTTATCACTAGCTTTCAGCCCGAGGCATCGCCCGCGTGGAATATTTTTATCTGTCACAGAAAAAAATTAACGCGCGCGTCCCTGTTTCAAAAACCGGGATAAAAACTATCCTGTCCATAAACTATCTCTGCCAAATATCATCAAAATCGGTACAGTGGTTTAGGCGTGAAAGCAAGACGGATAGAGTTACTTTCGCATATCTATATATATAAAAGAAAGTCGTGTTAGTTACTTCGCTTATAACTCAAGAACGGCTGAACCGATTTAGCTGAAAATTGTCAGGGAGGTAGTTTAGAGCCAGGAGAAGGACATAGGATACTTTTTATTCCGTTATTTATTGCCATTAAGGCGGAACAAAGTTCGCCGGGTCAGCTAGTATTAGTATAGAAGTCAGTATAGATTTATACACTACCTAATAGCACAGAATACATAATAGTAGCAACTAATAGATTTTCTCAGTGTGTGCTAAGTGGACACAAAAAATCAATTCAAACAAAGTACCTACGATACGATGTGATACGATTTTCATCACACTATAGTACTATACGAGTGATTAACAGAATACAGAGAAGAATGAGAATAAAAAATAACCACCAAAATTTCGCCCTAGTGAATCACATCACTAAGGAAATCTTCATCGCGTTCGTTCGTGTCCCGCTGTGCCGCTGTGTCCCGACTCCCGCTTTCAAAAACCGGGCGGGATGTTCTCCTCTCTACAATAAAATAAAAAATAAAACCAAGACACCAAGTGTCAAACTTAGGGATGTCGGACATGATCGATATTTTTGAAAATGGCGGTATGAAAATATGAAAAGATTTCTACTTCAATCATCTTACGTTACTAAGGCCCAGTTTTTTGATTCATAGTTGAAATAACAAATTGTTAAATTTTGCTACCAATGGTTAAATATTAACAAAATGTAAACTAATAGTTAAAAATGTACTAAAAGTCAAGCTAACCATTGTTTGAAAAACATTTTTTTCTGATATTTAACCACTTGTCATTTGACATCTGTCAAATTTGACTATTGGTTATTTTATCTATGAATCAAAAAACTGGGCCTAAGTAAATACTAATCCAAGAAACATCATTTTTAATAAATCAAGAGCAACGATAAATAAAAATATCAAAAATAAATAACTTCAAAAGTGTAAGGCATAGAGAAAAGCTTTAGACATACTCTCTAATCTGTGGAGAAAAGTAATACATAGGAAATAGAGAGCCCTCTCTGTCAAATTTTTGAACCTACTAATGAGGATCATTTCGATTTTTAGCTGTGAATGCAGATTTATAGGGCTAAGAAATCCTTAATAAAACAGTCCAAAAATTTTTGTTCTACGACAAAAATTGACGAAGTTATGGCCAAATTACTAAAAAAGTTCACTGACCGCCCGGCGCGGGGACGATGACGTCACTATATCCGATCCGAACGCTGCCGGCGTACTGCGTGGATAGAAAATATTTTTTTGTAGCCAAACTATCAGTTTAAGAGAAAAACTTGTAATGACATTTATTCATCAAAATAAAGTAAGCTATCGATAGGTAATTTAAAAAAATAGAAATTGTGAAAAATAACGCAAAATATCCATACGCTCAAACGATTCAATGGAACGCAGAGACGCGATTGGAGTCTCCGCGGTGTTATATTTGGCGATTTATTCAAATAAGTGTTGTTAGAGTCATATCTTCTTCCAAGTAAAATATAAAAATGTATAAGTATTAATTTATTTACTTCTAACAATAAGGATAGACCTAAGATTTGCCATGCAGATGTGCCAGTAAGTACTAATCTGCGCGACTTGTGTCACCCCCTGATGCTTGGCACCCGGGGCGAACCGCCCCCCCCTTACGCCGCTACTGCACTCACCCCAACCGCGTCTCCGCATTGCGGAGTATAGGATTCGATTCCTATGAAAATGTGGTTTTTGGACATAGCGATACTTATTTTTCACAACTTTTATTTTTAAAAATTATTGGTCAATAGGTTACTTTATTTTGATGAATATGTCGGCGCCGGACACAGATGCTGCAAATTATTATTGATGATTAATAGTACCAACCTTAATATTATGTTATCTGTAGAAATCTGTAGAGCAGAAGGTTTGTGATTCCTAAACGTAACACCCAACTGATGCGCAGAAAAAGATAACTGTCATTCAGTTGTGTCATGTCAAGTGTGAGCAGGCGGCTGCGAGGTTATCTTTGAGAGCGTGTTGAGTTTGGTGGAACGTTAAATTGTAGGAAAAGTGATTGTCGACCATCCAAGATATTATCTCCTTGCCCGTTAACCCACGCCTATGGAGATTCCACCCCTAGAGTTCCTTCTGATAGAGACCCAGTGCCTTTAAATAAATGTTATTAAAA